TAATTTTATTTCTTTCAAGGTATGGTCTCAAATGCGTCGAGCTCAAATTGCTAGTACAGATGTGAAAATGCATAATTCACAGATTAGCAAAGAATTGGGTGCTGAATGGAGAGAAATGAGTGTTGAAGAGAAAGCACCATATGTTAAACGGGTTTATGCTTCCTACCTCCTCTTTTGATATTTAAGCAGATTGAAATTGCTAAAAAAAAAAAGAAATAAAAAAGAATAATTGCATCAACTGTTTTATTTCGTTGTTTTCCTTTTTAAATTTAATTTATTTTAAAGAAAAATGTTTCAAAAAATTTTTGCACAAATTTTTTTCCTTTCAAATTATTTACCATCTTTCTTTTGATGGTCAATAATTTCATTCTTTCTTTTTACATTTTATAATGATATATCAAATAATCGATCTTTTTTATTTTATTTTATTTTTTTTTATTTTTTTTTTTTTTGTTTTAAGGCTAAGGAATTACGGGAAGAATTAATGCGCCGTCATCCAAATTATGTTTATCGTCCAAAACGTCGATCGCATGGTACGACAAAAAATTTATTGACCAAATCATGTGCGGTACTTCCTACAACCACCGGTCCATCGATGACACCATCATCATTTGAACAAAGGTTTCATTTCATGTCATTTATTTCTCTCTTTTTTTTTCATAGAATTTTATGTTCAGGTATTTGATATAAAATTACAATACGACAATTTGATAACAGATATGATTGTTACATCCAATTGTTATTCTAGCCGAATTTGTAAAATTCTATTGTTCTAAAATTCTTTCCTATTCCTATAATTGGAATTCTTGCTTTTCAAGATTTTCATTTCTCAATTCTCGATTGCTACAATGGAAAGGAAAGGAAATGTGATAGTGCTATGCATTAATTAAAGTAATTAATTGGTTCAAAATTGATTGCAATTACAAAATATAATCCATTTTAATCCATTAATGAAATAGATTTGATCCAATGAAATGATCATTATGCTTCATTAAACTATTAATTAATCAAAATTACATCGTATTGAATGTTCAGTTCTGTGTGCAGTTGTTGTTTCCTTTTGAAACGTTTATTCCATATCAATTTCAAATAGATTTATTTTAATTTTAAGTTTTGCATTTCTCTCAATCATCCTCTCTTTTCCATTCTCCCCTCATTTTTAATTGTATTTTTTCAATATTTTCACTAAATTATTTTCGTTATATAAAAAGATTACTAATGTAAACAGATAGAAATTTGTATTAAAATATGCTGGTAATCTTTATAAATGTAACAAAAATTCTCAATTGAAATATAATGTAATATTATCAATTTGAAATTCCATCAATTATTTTATAAGCAAAACAATCATTGTTTTTTGTTTTTCATTGTTTTATAACTATTACTACATTTACCGATATTTATTACCATTGTCATTCAATTTTTTGATATCATTAATAATTTATATTTCAGATCGCATTCATTACCATCAATTCCATCAGCACATGATATTAGACGATTATTTCTAGCTCGGGTAATGCAAGAACAACAAAACAATATGCTATTAGCAGCATATCGTAATCATTTACTTGCAGCTGCTACAACAACACCCTTAAAAGACTCTGCTAATTTAGATTCTGTTGATCAAGAGGTAAATTGAGGAATAATTTCTTTTCATTTTTCATTTCTTAAGAAAAAAAAAAATTTGCAATTAAATTTGATGCTATTTTGTATTAAATGAATTAATTACAAGTATACATTAATTTGCTCGCATACCCTATGAATGCTGTTTATTTTTGTAATTTTCATTATGAAAGAGTATAGTTTTGAATATTTGTTAAATGATAATTATAAATTGCTAAATTCTTTAGAATACTGTTTATCTTTGTAATTTTCATTATGAAGGAATGTAATTTTAAATATTTATTAAATGATAAATAAATTGTTAAATTCTTCATAAGTACATTATTAATCTTTAATTGACACATTTATTATACAAATTACATATCTTTAATCTTTGTTAAATTTTGTTGCAAAAAATTTTTACGTATTTCTAGAAATTACAATCAACAATGGGAAATATTACAACGGGTAGTGCTGCTGCTGCTGCTGCTGCTGGTGCTGCTGCTGCTGCTGCTGCTGCTGGTGGTGGTGGTGGTGGTGGTGGTGTATCAATTGCAGCCGAACAATTTAATCCAATTTCATCATTGCCTATGTTACAATCACCGTACAATCCTATCAGTCCATTGCTTGGTTCACAATTTAATCCATTTCTATTTAGTTAATTAATTCCTCCCTTAATTTAACAGGGTGTTTTTCAAACCTCTTAATTATTGTAAAAGTAATGAAGGAGAAATAAATAAGATGAAAAATGTAAGAAACGTTTGTTTTTTTTTTTTTTTGCTTATTTCTAATATACTGTTAAGGGTCAAATGTATTTTGTAATGTGTGTGTGTGTGTGTGTATGTGTGTGTATGTGTGT